CCACGTTCACACCAGGGCTCATCCGCTTCTACAGACGTGTGATACTCTGTGGTAAGATAACAGGTTTTATTTCTAACAAGTAGACATTAATTAAGTTCCATAAACTGCTAAATCAAATAATGTAGAACAAATGCAGTCCTGGACTAAAGGAGGACTCGTAGGTGTCCTCTGAGGACATTTCAGACTCAGCTGCTCGGTGAGGTACGGGGAGGCTCTCTGGGAGCCCGGTGCCTCTCGCTCCGCCTCGTGTCGTTCCGTACGCACGCCGCCATCACCATCACCATCAGGTGACCTTGTCTCCTCCCTCTTGGGTGGTCGATGGCGCTGCTGGTCTGGCGGGGGGCCGGGGCGCCTCCACGTTTTCATAGCAGGCCTCGGCTTGGCTGGAAGAGGAGGTGGAGACTCTCCACTCAGGGGGGACGAGGCCTCCGCCTGCTGGCCTCCTGCTATCTGAGCAGCAGGCGTCTCCACCTGGAGACAACGCGGTTTACAACAATGTGTCACACACACGCTACGACGAGACGTCTCCTCGTGTCAGACTGACGCTCTATTTCACATCCTGGAGGAAGGTCAGAGTTCAGAGCATCTGGAGAGTAAAATGCTGAGGTCACGTGACTCACCTGATGAAGACGGTATTCAGTGGAAAGGAGCCTTTTGGCCGCGATGAGGGCAAAGACAACAATTGTCACTATTACTACAAAAGAGGTTCTCTTTAGGATTTATCAAGCCTGGAAGGACATGCAGACCCGTTTTGACAGACCGACACAACAGAGTTATTAAACGATGAGCCAGTGGCCCAAAAACTCTGAATATGTCAGGGGAGGCAGGACTCAAACGCAGACTTAGAAAACAAAAGACTTTAATAGTCAAAAGGCAAAAGCAAAGGGGCAAAAACGCACACAGGAACCGGGGCAAAAATACAGGCAGGGACCAAGAAACATCCAGGAAGATTGACAAGAAACATCCACGACGATAGACGACAAGTGACACAAGAGACACAAGAGACACAAGGCTTAAATACATGAGGGAGGTGCAGGTGATTGGACACAGGTGGGAACGATGAGACGATCACAGGGGACGACAGGACAAGGCAGGAAGTGAAGTTACCCGGGGACACGAGTGGCAGAAAACTACAAAATAAGACAGGAAGTGAACCACACCGCGACAGAATATACAGTGAAAAAGTATTTGCCCCCTTCCTGGTGTCTTGAGTGAACTGTGATTAATGAAATCTTTAGAAAGCTGAGTTCAATTCCAGTTACTTTTTCACACAGGGCCAAGTAGATTTGGATATTCTTTACGCTGTAACAGTATCATTAAAACAGTTTGTCCATCTCATGTGATCATCAATGTAAGCTAATTGTATCCTGCTGTTTGCCAAGAATTTCTTTACTCAGGCAGTTTGATTGATATTTGGGTCCTGGAAAATACATATTTGAAGCAATATTTAGTACGAACAATGTAGCATCATTTTCATCAGAAATGATAGCTATAAATGTTGATTTGACAGACATTGATTATGTAATGAGATTGTGGCTACAAGGCCGATGGGAAAAGGATCTGCTGGCGATGTGATCATACGGTACAGATGTAGACCCGGAGGAGTCAACACATCTGTCCACTAACTGCAGTCCTCACAGTGATACATGACGGTCAAGAGGATGTAATTTTTCTCTACTTGGTCAGATCAATACCAAAAGTACTGTTACTAAGCTTAGTTTCTGCTATTGATCTTGCTAGGATCAATACAAAAGACAGTGATCAGGCTCACGTTAGCTCACACTCTGGTTATAGAAATAGTCTTTAGTGATGCACCAGATGTTATGGAATCACCCGTCAGTGGGGATGGTATTTTTTTTCCAATACCGGTGCTAAAGCAATACTTAAAACAATAACGGTGCCTGAACCGACAATTGACAAAAAAAAGAAAGACATTTGCAAGACATTTTTGAACAACATTTTAACTGTTTAAACAACACTGTAAATATGAATAGATAAATAAACACTTCTTAATTAACAATATATTTACTGTTTACAGTATAATTACATGTTTCATGTCTATAAGAGCCGGAAGTGCACGTATTTGTTCATTGGAATTTGGGGAATATTAATCATCTAATTTTAGATTTATGCTCATTGTGCAGGAAAAGTGTTTATGTTTTATTGACGCTCCTTGTTTGATGACGTCATTATTGCAGCAGGTGCATTAAGCACGAGAGCTAATAGTTTTTTTTTACCGTGTGACTGAATTTATTAATCGTATATTTAGTTAATAAAGACGAAGAGAATTAAACGATCTCCTGTCATTCTCATAAGGAAACAAAGTCTGTTGGGATATGTTCATTGTGTCCTCAGTTGTGGTGAAGGTGGAGTACAGCGCTGATCTGTGTTGTGCGTGAGCCACAAGGGGGCACTCGTTTGCATTGTTGTTTTGTTTGTCCCAAACTGTTATATATGAAGAAGTGATGAAGGCCGTCTGACCGTGAGACTGACGTGTCAGCGGCAGCTCGTAGAAAAGAAATAAATATGCCGAAGACGGCTAAAGGTGGCTCATCTGAATCGTCCGTTCTTTTCCTCCGAACGCAACGTTAGCTGCAAGAATGCGAGTAACGCAACTCAACAGGTTATGGGCCCAGGAGTCGTTCGGAAGATAAGTCCGTTGTTTCCCACCGTTTAGAAAGTCGCAACGGACCGCGTTGCTAAACGGACTTGGAGCAAGCTAACATGGCGGAACAACGAAGGAGATTGCCTCGACTGACGTTCGACGGAGATGAGATGAGCTTGAGCTTTGGGAGACCAAAATGTTGGGACATTTCCATTTATCAGGGCTGAAGGACACGGTGCTGAAAGAACCGGTGTCAGAAGCCGAAATAGCGGCAGACGAAAAGAAAAACGCGGACGCGTATGCAGAGCTAATTCTACTTTTAGACGACAAAAGTCTATCACTAGTTATGAGAGATGCACCCAACGATGGAAGAAAAGCTTTGGCAATATTGAGAGAGTATTATGCGGGGAGGGGAAAGCCCCGTATAATCAACTTGTACACCACGTTGACATCGCTTCTGAAAGCAAATGATGAAAGTGTAATGGACAATATTATCAGAGCCGAAACCGCCATCACAGCACTGCGCAACGCGGGTGAAACGTTAGGAGACGGACTGCTAGTCGCTATGGTCCTAAAGGGATTGCCTGAAAGTTTTAAGCCATTTGCAATACATGTGGCGCATGCAGACGATAATATCACGTTTACAGAATTCAAGACTAAACTACGTAGTTTTGAAGAGACAGAAAAGATAAAAGCAGCTGAGTCAAGCGACAGCGTGATGAAGACTCAAGGGAAAACTGGACGGCGGCCCGCCAAGACGAGCGCACGTGGCTGGATAAAGGACGACGCAGAGTTGATGTGTTTCAAGTGTGGCGCCAAAGGCCACAGAGCCAAAGAATGTCGACAGAAAACCTGGTGTAGTCACTGCAGAAGTGACACACACAAAGACGCCACGTGTAGGCGTAAGGACAAGGACAGTAAGAGCACAAAGGATGGTGCGAGTAAAGCCTCAGAAGACGCCGAGGACTACATGTTCAAGATGAGAGACGGCGAGAACGATTCCCAGCGGCAACCGCCATGCAACATCCAGCAGAGGGGTCTGATGGTGGACACAGGGGCTACCTCTCATATCATCACGGACATAACCATGTTCAAGAGCTTTGACTGCGCGTTCAGGCCGGAAACGCACAGTGTCGAGCTGGCAGACGGCACCCGGTGCAGCGGGATCGCTCGGCGGAGGGGAAACGCTGAGGTTTCCCTCATCGACAGCGGAGGACAGCGACGCAAGACGGTGCTGAAAGACGCTTTGTTTGTACCGTCGTACCCCCAGAGCATCTTCTCTGTGAAGGCAGCGACCACCAGTGGGGCTACGGTTGTCTTTAAAGAAGAT